GATTCAAAAAGAAGAAGTAAAACTATCTCTATTTGCAGATGATATAATCTTATATCGAAAAATCCTAAGGAATCCACTAAAACTAATAAATAAGTTCAGCAAAGTTGCAAGATACAAAGTCAGTATACAAAAATTGACTGTATTTCTATACACAAGCAATGAACAACCCAAATATGAAATTAAGAAAAAAATCCATTTACAACAGTAACTGAAATCAAATACTTAGGTATAAATTTAACAAACGAAGTGTAACAGGATAGGGTAAAAAAAGTGTAAGACTTGTATACTCAAAATTACAAACTATTACTGACAGAAATTAAAGATCTAAATAAAGGGGAAGAAATCCCATGTTCATGGATTGGAATCTCTATCAAAATTCCAGCTAGCTTTTTTGCAGAAAAATGTACAGACTGATCCTAAAATTCACATGGAAATGTAAGGGATCTAAAATAAACAACATAACGTTGAAAAAGAACAAAAAAAATCAGGGGACTCACATTTCCTGATTTCAACTTACTACACAAAGCTACAGTAATCAAAACAGTGTTGTGGTGGAACAGAACTTTTTACCCAGAAATAAACTCTTACATTTATGCTCCACTGATTTTTGACATGGATGCCAAGACAATGAAATAGGCCAATGAAGTCTTTTCAACAAATGGTGCTGGGTTAAGTGGATATCTACACTTAAAAGAATAAAGTTGGAAAAATACTTCATACTGTACAGAAAAACTAACTCAAATCACACACCTAAATGTAAGAACTAAAACTAGAAAATTCTTAAAAGAAAACTTTGAAATAAACTTTATATCTTAGGTTAGGCAAAACCTTCTTAGACACAACACTAAAAGCATAAAAAAACAACAGAAAATTTGGACAGGTGGACTTTAACAAATTTAAAACTTTTGTCTGTAAACAATACCATCAAGAAAGTGAAAAGACAACTCATAGAATGGGAAAAAATATTTGCAAATAATATATCAGATAAGGAACTTGTGTCCAGGATAAAGAACTCTTACAACTCAATAACAAAAAGGCGAGTTATCTAATTTCTAAAAGGCAAAGGATTTAAATATACATTTCTCAAAACAAGATATATAAATAGCCAACAAATACATGAAAAGATGCTCAACATCATTAGTCATTAGGGAAATGCATATCAGAACCCTAATGAGATACTACTTACACCCAGTAGGATGGCTAGAACAAAAAGATGTTTGGTGAGAACAGATAAATTGGAACCCTCACACAGTGCTAGTGGTAATGTAAAACACCGCAGCCACTTTGGAAGCAGTTTGACAGTTGTTTAAAAAGTTAAACACAGAGTTACCATATGATCCAGCAATTACAGTCCTAGGTATATACTGAAGAGAAATGAAAACAATATGTCTACACAAAAACCTGTAGATAAAGGTTTATAGCAGCATTATTCATAGTACCCAAAAAGTGGAAACAATCCAAATGTCTACCAATTGATGAAGGGATAAATAAAATGTATATATTCACACAATGGGCTATTATTCACCTGTAAAAAGGAACAAAGTTCTGATACATGGTACAACTTGGATGAACCTCAGAAACATTATACTTTATGAAAGACGCCAGACACAAAAGGTCACATATTGTCTGATTCCTTTTATATGATATATCCAGACCAAGTAAATCCATAAACAAAGAAAGCAGATTACAGGTTACTAGGGGGAGGAGAGAATAGGGAGTGATTACTTAATGGAGTGGTTTACGGAATGATAAAAAAGTTTTATAACTAGAGAGATATGGCTGCACAACATTGTAAATATACTAAATACCACTGAATCATAGACTTTAAATTGTTAACTGTATGTTATATGAATTTCACCACAATTTTAAAAAAGAAATTAGCTTGGAGGAAAAAAGTATATGTCCATACAAAGATCTGTACAAACATTCATAGCATAGCTTTATTAGTAATTGCAGAAAACTGAAAATAACCCAAATGTGCATTAACAAGTGAATGGGTAAACAAACTGTTACAGCTATATAACGGATTGCTACTCAGCAATAAAAAGGAATGAACTATTGATACATGCAACCACAGAGATAAATCTCAAAATAATTATGATAATTAAAAAATTAAACCAAAATAAATAAATGTGAGAGTATATACTTTACAACTCCATTTATATAAAATTCTAGACAACAGAAAATATTCTATAGTGACAGAAAGTTGATCAGTGGTTGCCTAGAGACCATAGAGGT